GTATTTTAAACTGTATAAAAAAAATTGAAATCAATTGTGAAAATCCATTCCTTATATAGGACGTTCTCTCCTGTTTAAAAAACCTACATAATAACATCACACGAAATTTATAACATTATGCATCTAGATTTTGATAAATATATATTCGAAATTTCACGTTGCTAGCTTCCAAGTATCAAGATTAATAATAAAAAACTAAAATCCAAATAAAAAATTTAAACATTTTGCTATATTTTCATGTTTTTTAAAAATCTACATAATAAAAATTTGTAAATTTTACATAAATGAGGGATATTGTTTTGAAGAATAAATATATGAAATTTCGTGTTTCTATCATGTCTAGAAAATTAGTGGTTAAAAAAATAGTAATAACATCTGAATTCGCGATCAATGAAAAATTGATAATCTTTAAAATTTTTTAAGATGACAAAAGTAAAAAATTCGGAATTAACAGTAGTTGAAAGAAGTAAAATTTTGGGTTTTAATTTAAGTGGAGCTTCTATAAGAAAAATTTCTAAGATTATGAAAATTCCATATAGCACTGTCCAGTATACAATCACTCATTATTCTGGTGAGCTAAAAAGTGCACCACGAAGTGGAAGACCCAAAATTTTAGACAAAGACGATCAGAAAAAATTAGAAAAAGTAGTAAAAAATAATAATCGTGCTTCTGCTGACCAGATACGGGAGAAATTCATCGAAGTTAGTGGTGTTGAGATTTCTACAAAAACAATTCGTAGAAATCTCCATGGGCTTGGAATTTATTCACAAGTTGCTGTGGTGAAACCTCTGTTGACTGAAAAACAAAGAGAAAAGAGATTAAGGTGGTGTTTGGAAAAAAGAAGATGGAGTGTCAGAAAATGGAATACTGTGATTCGGAGTGATGAGTCACGATCTAATGTTTTCAGAAATGATGGTCCAAGTCTTGTCTGGAGAGAAAACGGGAGACATTATGATATTAAGAACATTGTCCTGTCAGTAAAACACGGTGGTGGTGGGGTAATGGTTTGGGGGTGTTTTTCTGGAAAAGGATTGGGTCCTTTGGTTAAGGTGGATGGAAAGATGAATTGTTGGGACTATATTGAAATATTAAGAGAAAATTTGTTACCCTTAGTTGAAAATGAATTTAATAATAGAAATTATTATTTCCAAGATGACAACGCCCCAGTTCACACCGCAAAAGCTGTTCAAAATTGGATTGTAGAAAACAATATAGAAATATTATCAAATTGGTCTTCACAATCCCCCGATCTCAACCCTATTGAACATCTTTGGGATGAGTTGGAAAGACGGTTGAAAAAGAGAAGCAGTCATTGTAAAAATGTGTCAGAATTGGAAGTTGTATTGAAAGAAGAATGGACCCAAATTCCATTCGAAAAATTAAACAAACTTATTGAAAGCATGCCAAGAAGAATAGAAGCATGTATTTCTAACAATGGCTGGCCAACAAGATATTGAATTTTTATTTAATAAATAATTTCAATTTTGGGCGATCATGAAAAAAAACTTTTTTGAAAATTTTTAATTAAATTTGATACATGAAAGCTAGCGACGTGAAATTTCGAATATATATTTATTAAAACCTAGGTGCATAATATTATAAATTTCGTGTGATGTTGTTATGTAGGTTTTTTACTAATTAATGTAAACACGTGATCAAATACTTTTGTCCAGGGAGTGTATATATAAAATAAAACTAACAATCTTTTGCAAAAAAAAAAAAAAAAAAAATATATATATATAAAACAAAAAAAAATTTCAATTTTTACTTGTCAACAATTTTTACTTTTGTCAACACTTTTTACTTTTGTCAAAACTTTTTACTTTTGTCAACACTTTTTACTTTTGTCAACACTTTTTACTTTCGTCAAATCGTCAAAATGGCACTTGGTGAGAAACCACCTTTAGTCAGTACTTTCGTCACGTCAATGACTAAAGTCAAAAGTTTCGTCATACATCATTAGCTGGTGGTGGCTTATACTCTGCAATAAAAGCAGATCATATGACTATTTTAGAAATAGATTGTTGCTTTAAACAACTTATAATGGGAGTTAATTATCTTCATTCAATGAGAGTTGCTCATAGGTATCCTTTATTATTAAAATCTATTTAATTGATTGACTGAAACATTTTACCATGTATTTGTGTTAAATAAATACTTATGAATTACAATTCTTTTTTTATGTAGAGACATAAAACCTAAAAATTTATTGTTGGATGTAAAAGGAAATTTAAAAATTACAAATTTTGGTGTATCTTATGTTTTTAGGACATGCTGGGAAGAATCAATCCATAAATTTAAAGGTTTATGTGGATCTGAACCATATATTGCTCCTGTAAGTAATCTTTATAAGATTTTTATATTTATTATTATTTTTATATATTTATAATAATAATTCTTATTATTACAGGAACAATTTGAAACCAAAGAATATGATGCTTGTTTAGTAGATATATGGGTATGTGGAATTGTATATTATTTGTATAAAGGTATTCCATTCAGAATGGCATCATCAACAGATCTGAATTATTTAGATTATTTGGAAGCAAAAAGTACTGGGTTGTATGAACCATTTGAAAGATTACCACATGGCTGTCGAGATTTAATGTATCGTATACTTGAACCAGATGTTAAGAAGCGTGTAACCACTGAAGATATAAAAAATGATAAAAAATGGTTTCAATCAATTGAATCCTGTGTTGAATTAACATCATCATCATCTGATGATAATAATAATTGCTCTTTAAAAAAAAATCATTATCATATTCCACCAGTAGAAACATAATCTAATAGATTATGTTTCTACTTAGCTAGGTTATGTATCTACTATAAGGGGTGTGTCATAAAACTCAAGTCATTCGAGTGATGGGTCGATTGCAAAATTCAAGTCATTTGAGTGATGGGTGTGTCATAAAACTCAAGTCATTCGAGTGATGGGTCGATTTCAAAATTCAAGTCATTCGAGTGATGGGTGTGTCATAAAACTCAAAGTCATTCGAGTGATGGGTCGATTGCAAAATTCAAGTCATTCGAGTGATGGGTGTGTCATAAAACTCAAAGTCATTCGAGTGATGGGTCGATTGCAAAATTCAAGTCATTCGAGTGACGGCTCAATCGCAAAACTCAAGTCATTCGGGTTACGATTGATTCACGAGTTCAACGTCATTTGGATGACGATTGATCGAAAAAATCTGTCTCCGCGATTTCAGTATCCGCCATGTAGCATTTGTGTCCATCGTCCACACGTGTGGACGGTCATCTATAAGTAGCACTCCAGGGAAATACTTATTTTGGCCTTGTATCTTGAATTCGAATGCCAGGTTTGAGGCACGTAGTGCCGAATTGCTAACTGTTATAATTCATTCGAATATCACCCGATGATGAGGCACGTAGTGCCGAATTGTTAGCAGTTGTTAGCTTCATATAATTCATTCGAACATCAATTAAGGATGAGGCAGGTAGTGCCAAATTGTTAACTGTTATAATGCATTCGAATATCAATCGAGGATGAGGCACGTAGTGCCGAATTGTTAGCAGTTATTTTGTGTCCGTCAAAAGCATAATTTTTTATAATATATATATCTGTAATAATTTTACTTTTGGCGGACACCGCTAGTATACTATGTTTTGCGATCCTAGAACTCTTTCTTGCATAGTTGATACTTTTGGCGGACACCAATATATATCTGTAATAATTTTACTTTTGGCGGACATCAATATATATCTGTAATAATTTTACTTTTGGCGGACACCAATATATATCTGTAATAATTTTACTTTTGGTGGACACCAATTTTTTTTCGAATTATATAACTAAAATAGTGTCTATCCAAAGTGCAACTATCCTGTCTATAATAATTATACCTTGACCGGACACAAAAGTGTCTTTATAAGTTGGGTATCTTTTATGGGATTTTTTTCAAATATTGTTTTCAGATAGCACAAAAACCCCTTTGTATGGTTCAAGTACTAAGATAATAATTTTTGATTTGAATTTTTTCTTATATTAATTGTAGAGGCGACAAAAATCCCTTTACCTGAGATAAATAACTAGCCAAATGTAGCAATCTCTCTGCTTCAGAGATTACTACTTAACTAGATGATAATGTCTTAGCACCTTTACTTGCTTCGCTGAAACATTTATAACAATTACGCATATTCAATGATTGCTAAAGATTTATTTTTCAATTCTTTTTTGTGCGGAGTAGTAGGAACTTTCATTTTAGCCTCAAAGTTTTGCTTGTATTCCAAGAACTCGGCCTCACTCATACTCTCACGCTCTTTTTTCCAGTAATTTTGGTTATCCTGCAACTCAAAAGCAATCTTAGTTCGCCATTGTTTTAACCTTTCTTGAGACATTTGATATTTTTGTTGTAAATGGAAGATAAGGGTATCTATATCAGATTCGTTTTTGATGAGATATTCTGAAGATAAAGATATAGTATCTAAAGATTCAAGTATTTCAATCTTAGTTTCAGTAATACTTGAGAGTTGTTCAACTATATTATTGCAAGAATTCTCTTCATGAATCTCATTACTAGATAATGTAGAATACTGAAATTTTGTTTCTTCTGAAATGGTAATATCAGTGGTAATAGGTATAGAATCGAAAAGTTCTTGAGTTTCATCAATTGATTCTGGCTTGTACGGTGGAAGAACTGGAATTGTAGGGTGATAATTAGGATCATTTGATTTTATAGCTATTATTCTTTCTATAGTTTCAAAACCAGCTCCATTATCTGGCACACGATTAATCCAGTATGTTTTTTTCCGTACTCGATTAGTTCTTGGACCTACACGAGTTTCGCCACTCTTAATGGTATAACCACACCAATTTCCTACTATTGCATTAATCAATTTTACTGTAGCCTTGAGATCGGGCAATCCTTTAGCTCTGGTCTTAAAACCGAAGAGTAATAATGCATCTTCTCGAATTTTAACGATTTTTTCCCATGATTGCTCAAAAGTCTTAGCCACATC